ATCTAGAGTCAGGGTTTGAAGACTGTCTATAGTCAAACCCCCTGGACAGAAACTGGACTCGTGCAGCAGAGCCATTTGTGGGGTCCGGAAAGAGGGTTTTTCACAGTTTTTTAAAAAACAAGCTTTCTTTGGTATATTCAAGTACAGTCACTTTATTTGTTTGTACTTTAATTTTTATGCCTGTTGTTGTTAAGTGCTGTCGAGTTGGTTCTGACTCATAATGACCTCTGTATAGGATTTCCAAGAAGCAGCTGGTGGGTTTGAACTGCCGACCTTGTGGTTCCCAGTCTAATGCTGATCTTAAAACATCACACTGCAATAGTACTACAAGCTCATTAGTACTATAAGGCATATAGCATCTTTAAGAGTGGGCTTGTACTGGCTCATGAAAGTGAATCAAACTATGAAAACTTAAAATTAAATAAGTTATATTAGAAATAGGGAGGGGAAAACACTCAGAACTCATCACTTCCTAATTATTTTACTACCTGTTCGCTTGAAGCTATTTATATCTGTCATATCTGTAAGAGCTGTTGTTGTTGTTGTTGTTAAGTGCCGTCGAGTCAGTTCCGACCCACAGTGACCCTGTGTAGGGTTTCTGAGGAGCAGCTGGTGAGCTTGAACCACCGACCTTGCAGTTTAAATGGCTTTGCTGTCTGGCGCATTAACCCACATCCACAGTGCCACACCAGGACTCCCTGTAAGAGCTGTAGGTGATGAAAATGGTTTGCCCCCAACTGCTAACTTAAACGTTAGCAGTATGGGCCCCACATTAGTACTGTAGAATCAAAGGCCTGGCTACTCTGCTTCCGTTACGATTACAGCCAAGAGAACCCTGTGTGGCAGTTCTAGTCTGTAACCTATGGGGTGGCCATGAGTTGGAATTAACTGGATGGTAACTAACAACACATTGATGTGGTAGGAATAGAATGCAGTGACTTGCTACTATATTTGTCTTCCAACTCTGCAGTTGGTGATGTCATCCGGCCTATGGAGCTTCACATTAGCCATGTTGTTGTTAAGTGCTCTGTACAGGGTTTCCAAGGAGCAGCTGGTAGTGAACCGCAGACCTTGTGGTTCAAACTGACCTTGTAATCTAGTGCTTTAGCCTACAGTACCACCGCAGGAGGACAGTAGCCATAGTAGAGATGTTTACACCATCAAAACTGACCAACACTACAAGACAGAGCATTTTTCTTCCCAGAGAATCAGTTGTTAAACATTTCCTAGCACCTATAATTTTCATTCTATTCCCACCTTTTCCTATTTGTCCTCAATTTCCTACTCCCCAGAAACAGCCACTTTCATTCCTCTTAGCTGTTTCTTTTTGCACGTACCTCCATATGTCTTAATTACACGTTTTTACTGCTATATCTTGATTTGTTAAGTCTTAAGAAATTGCCTACTGACTTCCTGTTACAAAACATGAGGATCTAGCTTTGCTGAAGTTCGATCCCAGTTCTTTCTACACACACACACACACACACACACACACACACACACACACACACTTTCTCTACCTCTATTCTCCCAGTATTTTATAGCACGCTTCTTGTTTAAATAAATATTCAGAGTCTACATTATTAAATCTATGTAAATATTGTACAGAACTCATGACACACTGTGATGATATTAGCTTTCGCATACAAGTTTTTTCTGGAGTTAGCAATCACCTTGTATTGGTTGCTTGATTTCTCTATGGAACAGTGGTTCTGAGACTTTTCTTTTTAGCAGTGAAACTGTTATTTTTCAAGCAAATTTTATGTGGGACACTACTCTATAAGGGTGTGGAGCTATAAGATAAGCACTGGATTGCTAACCACAAGATTGATGGGTCAGACCCACCAGCTGCTCCTCAGAAACCCTATACAGGGTCACGAGTCAGAACCACTCAGTGGCACTTCACAATAACTATATAAGACAGAACCATCAGAGCCGCCAGTTCGAAAGGAGGTCCTTCCCTCCAGGGCAGTTGGGTAGAACCAAACAGGCTGTGCACAGCACATCTTTAGAGATCTCTCTTCATAGCAACAGGAATTTGATTTCATCACGTAATGTTTCTCTTTTTATTGGTGCAGGGAGGGCAGGGTTGCATCTGTTGTGTAAAGAGAGGTCCACCTAGAAGTAGATATGACATCAAGATCATTCTCTGCTTTAAAAAGCCTTGGTCTCTTCCCCACTACAGACCACCGATGTCCATCCTCCCCATTCTGACTAGGTTCCAGGAGTGATGCTTTCCCCATGCCTCCAGGGTATCCTGGAGGCCAGAAGCTGCTGTTAGCTGATGGCCACCTAGTAACTGACTGATTTGGTGTCCCTCAGGTCTGCCTGGGCTGGGCTGGACTGGGCTGGGCTGGGTGCCTAAAGTTTATTGTAGACAGATTTGTTCAAGGGATGCTCATTCAGGTGAAGGTGTTGGAGTCTGATGTAAGGGGTCTGTCAGAGAGTAAACTGGAAAGAGAGGCTGACCAGCAGTGGGCAGCCAGGGAACAACAAACTTTCGGAGTAAAATCTGTGTGAGAATCTTAGCTTTGTTTTTAGCTGGGTGACGTTCAGCAAGTTGCTTAACCTCTCTGAGCTTTAATGATCTCCTACTTAATTTACAGGATTGTTATGAGAATTAAAGATCATGTGGGGCACTAATATGGGCTAATGTGTCAGACTGTAAAGTTGTTTGAACTGCAAGGTCAGTGGAGCTCACCAGCTGCTCCTTGGAAACCCTATACAGGGTCGCTATGGGTTGGAATCAACTTGATGGCACTTAACAACAACAACAACAGATCCCAGGGCCACATGTGGTTCAACTCCTGCTTAGAATCTCATATAAAGAAGTCTAGTCCAGCTGCCCAAAGGTAATGGAAAAATATATTCTAATCCTGATTGTAGCCCTCACAAAGAGTCAAAGGGGATCCTGTTCATAACTGATAGCAACGCCCCCACCCCCACCCCCAATCCCTTTTCCTCCAGTCTCCAATTTCCCCACAACATACAGCATCGGTGAAGTTCTGGGTCCAATCTCTCTGTATTTTTCCATCTCTCTTTTTCTCTGCTCCGTTCACACCTTCCATATATCACTACCATTTTCTCCAGACCCGTTTTTCTCCACTCTTCCCAGCATAGCTGCATCATAACTAGTTAAAAGGTCTGAAAATAAGTTAACAAAGCAGCAGGTAGGAAAAGGACGAGGACAAGACCGAACCAACTAGAGCCACTGCCGTCGAGTCCATTTCAGCCCTTAGCGGGGTTTCTGAGACTGTAAGTCTTTACAGACGCAGACAGCTTTACTTTTCTGCCCCAGAGCAGCTTGGGGGTTTGAACCGCTGACTGTTCAGTTAGCATCCCAACACCTAAGAGCAGGACACCCGCTCTGAATTCATTCTTGTCCTATCACACTAGTGAAATATTCGACACATGTCGAAGAGGCTTGGCACTTCCTTGTTATACAAATGAGGAACTTAAAGTGGGAGGGGGCATGGGGCAGTATGACCTGTCCAAAGGACCCCTTCACATTTCTGACTGAGCAATATTTGCAGATGGGCAGTAGCAGGAGGAAAAAAACCTTCTCTCTTCTTTCCTCTAAAAGCTAGTGTTTAAAACGTCTGAAAGGTAGAGACACGTCATCTACCTACAAATTCCCCCTTCATTTTTGACCACCTTTGACGTTACTCTTCTTCTTCTTAAGTGCCCTTAAGTCAGTTCCAACTCTTAGTGAAGCTGTATAGGGTCTCAGAGGAGCAGATGGTAAGTTTGAACTGCCGACCTTGAGATTTAAACCAACCTTGCGGTCCTGTGCAAAGTATGGATTATTCCCCTTGCCCCAACACACACATGTTACTTCCCTGTGTGGACTGCTTTCCCTTGCCAGGTCATGGACTGTACTGCGTGCCTACTACGTGCCAGGCTTGCCAGGGACAAGGAAGACACCATGTGTCCTCAGTTGCTCACAGACCAATAGAAACAGACGGGGGTTCAGTGTCATTGTAGGAGCACAGGGGAGCATGTCATTGAGGTATCAGGGAAGACTTTCTGGAGGAAGCTTCATCTAGTTTGTACAATAGTGATTACTGTATCTCCTGAACATTCACTATGGTGATATTCTGCACATTAAGCCCCTGGTTAAACACATGAGCTCATTTAATCTTTACAACAGTGCTAAGAGGTAGGTGGTGTGATCCTCGTTTTTGGAAATGAGGAAACTGAGGCTCAGAGAAGGCTGTTGACTTTTTCAAGGCTGTGTAGATAAAATGTGGCAGAGCTGGGATTCAAACGCAGGCCTGTGTGACTCCAAAGACTGCATCCAACCATAGGTGTTCAAGCTGCACAAGAAAGTCACATGGGGGCAGAGAACGGTATCTTTTACCTTGTGGGCAGGATAATGTGTGACAAAGTCTAGTGGATGCAAAGGTTCAGGGCTCACCACTCACTGCCGGAGCTGTGGCAAAGAGCGTCTGCTGGATCCTGATACACATGTGCATGCAGCTCTGTGAATGTTCTGGAATGTGGGCACATGTGTAGGGCTAGGGTTGTGGCCTCAGAACTTTCGATGTTCAGGTGTATGTTGTTTGAAGTGCTGTCGAGTTAGTTTCAACTCATAGCAAGAAGCGGCTGCTGTGTTTGAACCGCCATCCCTGAGGTTAGCAGTGTAATGTTTATCCTAGAGCACTGTGGTTACAGGACTCAGTTCAGTGGAGAGTCACTTACTAACTTTAAACTTCTTTACTTGAGGAAGGGCACCTTGTCCTCATTGATACAAAGGGGCCATACAGACCGGCAGGCCCTGTCCCACCACTACCTGTTCCTTCAACACCAGTCAGAGGGGAGCAGAGGATGTAGCCACAGTTTGGTCCAGCCTGATGCAGGGACCCAAAGATGAATAATACATTGGCATATATTGAGGACCTTCCAGGCCAGTTGAGAAACCCAGAAAGACTCTCCTTTCTGAGAGCCTCCTCGGGGCCATCAGAGCTAAACTCGTCTTTCCCTTTCTTTCTCCTCTACAGACGGGCAGGATTGAGCCCAACTACCCCAAGGTCTGTGGTCACCAAGGCAACGTGCTGGACATCAAGTGGAACCCCTTCATTGACAACATTATCGCCTCATGTTCAGAGGACACCTCCGTGAGTTGCAGGAGGGATGGACCCTGAGGAAGGACCCTCCCTCCTCCAGGAAGTCTTCCCTATTAGACTCCCACCTCTTCCACCCGCTGCCCTCTCTCCTTTCTTTTTATCATTCTTCCAGCTTGCCCAGAATAGGGAGGAAGAGTTAGGTCTTGCACCTTTGGCTTGACCGAGTTTAGAGGTGTTGATTTTGCAAATTAAAACAAAAGCAAAAACAGAACAGTGTGATTCAGCACCTGACTGTGAGGGACAGGAGTGAGACTATGGACAAGGATGAAGGGGGGAAAGAAATAGAAGCATCGTGAGGAAATGAGCTTCTGCTCCTTGTGGGCTGGACACCATAACTATGTCATATGGTTGTGACCTCTGTGAGCTGAGCTGAGAGAGTGGGTGCAACTTATCCAAGGACACATGGTGGCAGCTCAAATTGGATTCCATGTGTCCCACCACTCAATGGGGAGAGAAATGAAACACAAGAAGAGAAATAGGAATCAGAGGAGAGAAGGGAAAAGGAAAAGAGATGGCGATAGAAGGAAGAAAGGGGAAAGAGGATTTGTGGAGGAGGAGTGAGAATTGAAGCTGCTTTCTGGCCACCCTTTCTTCAGGCTCTGCTGACTTTCACAGGTAAAGGGAGTGTCTGATAGGCTGGCAGCAGCCATCATGTTCCTGGAGAGCAGCCCAGGCTATTCCCCTCACAATCCCTGAGCAGCATCTACACACCAACTTGGAAGCAAGAGGGGGTTTCAGAGCTGCAGCTGAGCTGGTGAGGAGGGCCTGCCCAAGCCCAGGTGTGCCCAGGTGTACCCCTTTCAGTATGTATCTACCTAGTGGTCACTGCCATAGACCTCCAGGAGGCTGGAGCTGGAAGGAACCTAGGAGAGTGTGTTAGCTTGATGTCTCCCATCTTCCCGGACTGGACTGTGAGCTCCTGAAGACAGGGACCATGGCCTATTTGGCTCTAAATTCCCTGTATTCAGCACAAACCCAGCCACCACAGATAGGTGAATGGATAATTAGGGTCAAAATGGATAGCTAGATGCCTGCATGGAAAGACACATGAATCAGTAGATGGATGGATGGATGGATGGATGGGTGGGCAGATATCTGAAAGACAGACATCCAAGAGTCAACAGGTCGGTGGGTGGGTGGGTAGATAGATGGATGGGTAAATAGATTACTGAATTGTTGAATGGATGAGCACTTTCACATGGCTGGATGGTGGATGGAAAGAAGGATCCATGCACACAAGGAGAGATGAATGGATAACTGGATGATGAGTGAGTGGATAAATGGATGAATAGAAAAATAAATCATCCAGAGCAAGAGAGGAAGGTAGAGGTTCACAATAAAGAGTCTACGTTATTTAATGAAGTTGGAAGTGATGTTGGAGAGTCGTGGGAAGGGAAGAAGAAACTAGAATGAGCTTGACTACCTCCTGAAGGTCAGCATCCTAAGAATTTCTGAAAACAGCTCCAGTGAGTCAGGGCAGGTGGGAATGGAGAGAGCTAGATCATGTGGTGAACATGGTTCAACAGGTGTTGGTACTTTCTCTAGCAGCCTCGTAGTTAAGGTAGGCACAGTGATCAGGGCTCTGGACACAGACAGACCAGGGCTAGAGAAGGATGAAGCCAGGACAGAGAACAGTTGGTCTCTGGGTGCTTCCTGGGCTGAGAAGGAAGCTGATGAAGCTGATGGGTGCTGGACAGGTCCACAGGGTATGGGATCAGCAAGGAGAAGACAGGCAGCAGGTGGAGGTGTTTCCCAGTCTTAATTTCTGGATGCAGGGAGCTCAACAAGGAATGCCGGTCACTCATGATGGCTAGCTCCACCTCTGTCTACCAGCCGCAGGAAGCAGACGGCTCAGGAACTTGGGGCTGCCACTTGTAGACCTCATCCACCCACTCTGAACTGAGCCCCTTACCTACGTGTAGCCCTCACAGCCACCCTATGAGACTATGGCTAGAGAACTGAGGACCTCACCCTTCAATCAATGAAAAGTGGATGTGGGAAGCTTTGGGCTCTCCTGCCTGCACCCCCTTGTCCTCACCAGGGAACCTGCTGGGAAGGAGAAGGGCCATGTCTGCAGAATTCCTGGCTGTCTGGCTCGGTCTCAGGTCGAAACTTCTGCCTGAATCACCGGCTGACTCTCTAGCTCAGCACCTCGTCTCACCTGACAGTCAGGTGTTTCATCCTCTGGAACTCCAGCTAATAAGCAAGACATACATGGTGTATGCAAGAAAAATATACAGCATCAGCGCTGGCCACACGAGCCAAGCGACTCTCGAGTCCCTGCATGATGATTAAGTAACCATAATGTGCCCGATGTCTTCCTGGTGCTCGGGTTCAAAGAGCTGGGCTGTAGAATCTGTTGGACCTGAGATTGAGTCTTAGCGCCATCACTTAGCAGCTGGTGACAAGGGCATGTCACTGTATCTCTGAGTCTCAGCTATGCTCAGTTATGCTTGAAAACAGGAATAATGATCATCCTCCCTTAGGCAGTCTTTGCCTAGCACTCCCTTTGTCCCTGCATGTTGTTGTTGGCATCCCGTTGGCTCTAATTCAATGTTAACCTTGTGTACAACAGAAGCAAACATTGCTCAGCCCTTAGCCATCCCACTGTCTTTGGTCTCTTTGAGCCCATTGATACAGCTGTAGTGTCAGCCCATCTCATTGAAGGGTTCCCTCATTTTGGTGACTCTCTCTTTTACCAAGCATGATATCATTTTCCATCAGTTGGTCTTTCTTGATGATGTATCCAAAGTAAACCTCAGCTAACCTCAGTCATGCTCTGGAAACAACCCCACCTTTATAGAGAGACCTCACTCACCAAAATGTGAAGCAGAATGAGGTCACTGGGTTGTGTACCCAGGGATGAGAGAGGGAGTCTTGTTGACCAGGATGCAAGGAGAGGTAGAAAGGGTTGAGACTGCATCAGAGGCTGGACCTTGGAGGAGAGGCAAGATTTTGACCAGAGAAAAAAGGTGACCAAGTTCCAGGAGGAGATGTGGCATAAGCAAATGTGTGAAGGGAGTATGCACAGTGTGTTTGGAAAACCAAGAGTCATCAGGTGAACTGGAGCCCCAGAGTGGTGGTCAGAGAGCAGGAAGGAGGCTGGGGCCAGAGGGAGAAGGCTGGGATGCCGCTGAACTCTCAGGGTCCCAGCTTAATCGGGGACCCCTCTGGTGGAAGGCTGTGTGGGAAGCTGTACATGCCCACCCCCAGGACCAGGGAAAGGATGCTTGGGGCTAGAGGGATCACTCCTGCAAGCTTTATGGAAGGGGTGGGCTGAGTTTGCTGCATGGCTTCTGGGATTTGGATCAGTGAGAGAAGGGAATGCACCCAGCAGGGGAGGGGAGTGGCTGGGGGGAGCCTAGGGAAGGACCAAGAGAGCCGGTTAAGTCTCCTGATCTGGGAGAACTAAGCTCTGGCTCCAGCTGCCTAGAAGCAGCAGTTAGAACCCCAGCCCACCCCTCAGGTCTCTGTCCCTCCCCAACCAGGGACCAAGGATCTAGGCCTTTCAGCCCACTGGCTCCTGTGGCTACAGCCCAGCCCCTTGTAGAGCAGGTCCCACAGAGGTCTCAGAGGAGTGCCATGGCCAAGGTCACCAGGTGGTTCCTGACCCAACAGCCCGTCACCAACAGCCCTGGTTTTACAGGTGAGGTGACGGGCGCTACCCATGAAGGGGCAGACTGCTCAAATTCACCAAACACTTAGTGTTTACATGACAATGTCTTCTCTGTGCAAGGTCTCCCATACCCGGCCCAGAGCACACAGAATGGGCATCCCAGCCTGGGCCCTGGGTGGGGACAGAGATATAAAGGACAAGGATCCTGCAGCTCCGAGCCACGGACTGGGCCATGGCCCTCAGGGCTGTTCTAATGGCACCTGGAACCCCAGTCCCAACACTCCCTTGGTCCACTTCAGCTCAAATGGCCAGCTTAAGAATCCTGAAGTAGGTGTTGTCAGGGTTAGATGGTCAGTCGGCAAAGCTGTCACATGCCTATACTGTGCCACACAGCAGAACCAGCCTTGTTTGATAGGTGGGCCACTGGGATCCAGGGGGAAGTTGTTTCCTGCAGCTCTGGTCCCCATTTCTCCAGGTAGAACCTGCCCGCCCTTCCTCCTATCTTCCCCCTGCCCCTTACCTCTCAGAACATTCAGAGGGCATTGAAGGGATCTAGAGACACCCCTCCCTCCTGCCCCACCTTGAGCTCCTTCTCCATAGTCCCCATCTTGGCGAAATCGTCAATGAAATCAATCCCTGTCTCCCTCAGGCTCAGCCTCCTCTCCTCCAGGCCCCGAAACCTGAGGAAGTCCTCCTGAATCTAACCTCCATCCCCCCAGTGAAGCAGATGAACATACCCAAGCCCTTTCCCAAGGGGCTCCCATCCTGCGGGAGGGGTGAGGGCTGTAACTCTCCCTGGCATCTGGCAGAATCCAGTTCTTTCTGCCGCTGGGTGATGTCACCTATTGTTGAAGGGGTGTGCTTTTTATAGCTTCTGCCGCAGCTAGGGAGGGCGGCTGGCAGGCACTATCGGTTTCCAAGCTGGCCACCGCAGCCTCCTCCTCCTCGGGCTCCCAGCTCTTCTCCGGGGGCTGGCTGCTGCAGAGAAGGAGAGGTTTTTGACATCTCAAGGAGAGGGAGAGAGTGATCCCCAGAGAGAGAGGGAGGCAGGCCCCACTCTGCGGCAGGCCTAGCTCAGCATCTTTCCTTTGCCTCTGTGCAGGCTCCTCCTCCCCGCCCAGAGACGCTGCCCCTCCAAGAGGAGCTGGGGGTGGGATGGGGCAGGATGTCAGCCCTGCTGGAAACAGCCGGAAGCCACCCACCTCCCTGCCTCCTCTCCAACAAGCTCCAGAAGCAAAACCTCCAGGAGCTCAAAGAGAGCAGCTACTTTCCTATCAGAAATGAGAGGTGCCACAGAGGAGCTGGACACCTGGCAGCTGCAAAGAAAGGCCAAGTGTGGCTGAGTGGTTGAGCAGCCAGGCTTAACCATCCACAG